TTTCATATATGTGTGTGTTTGATTCATGTTGTCTCGCCTTCATTCTTCTCTCAGAAAGTAGTTCTTTTATAGGCAGTGACAATGTTTTGTTCATTACTGTCTCATAAAGGTCTAGAACACTTTCTGGCACTTAGTAAAAGTTCAATAAATATTTCACCAATCAGTGACTACATTTTACAGCAAGTTATTTATTGATCAATAAGTGGGCTTAAGACTCTGTTCTAAGAACTGTATAGAGAAATAGTCTTCCCATGAAACTTACATTGTAGCTTAAACATTAGCAACCAGGTCACATACTGTGTGCACTGTTTGCTCGTTGTCTCTAATCACCTTGACCTCAGGTGAGTGATGCCCTAGCTAGCTCCCTTGGCTCAGTGTCAGTCTTTGCTTCCAGTATTAAAGTCTCTGCCTGACCCCTTATTGCAGGAGTGGAATCAAAGTTCAGCTTGAACATAAGCTCACTTTGCAAGCACCTGGCCTTCTGCTTATTTCTGGTAGGTGTCTCCATGCCTGGGAAGTTGGTTTACTCTTCAGCCACACTCACATCCAGGGACAAATTCCAAAGGGCCTCATCACCATCACTAAGTCTCTCTGACATAAAGTACTGATTTTTAACTCTCCTGTGGTTAACACCAACTACTATGGCAGGAGCAGCCTTCCAAGCAACATGGTTATGGATCATGAAGAACATCCTGGCTTCAGGCATGCGTGTTCCCAAGTCTCCGACTTAGGTTTTGCCATGGAAACAAGGAATGTGCACAGCAGCTGAGTATCTAGCTCATCAAATGCAAGATCCCAGAAGATGCTTGCTTCTTTCTGCTACCAGTGGGTTTTTCATTTTTTTCCTAATCTGATTAGAGAAAGATAAACTGAATTTCAAAACCATTTTTTCTCCCCTCTTTGAGTCCTTACTCATTTGTTACAAGAAAGACCCCATATATTCAAGAGAATGGCTTCAAATAAATCATCCATGTAGATTAAACACACACACACACACACACACACACAGTGGGTGCCTTCTCCTGCCTTTCCTCTGTCCTTAACCAGGGCTAAACTGCAGTTTTATCTCTTGTTGATGGGCTGATGTGGGAAGCAAATGTCTCCAGATCATCTGAGACTTCAGTTCAATGTGTGATCTAAACCACCTTTACTTTTATGCCCGGTAACATAACTCTAGATGACATTGCTTTGTTAACCTTGCAGGAACTAACTCAAAGTTTACTTAACTGAATTTTCTGGACCTCATTCACTATGCAATGACAGGATTTCGCTGTGTCTCCACCTACCTAAATTCCTGCTCCTGCCCCTCGGACTTTAGACTTCTTAGAATTCTTGGTTGTGCCCCTTGGAACACTTGAGCACCTAAAAATAAGTCATTTTTGCTGTCTTAATGTCTATGGATCTTTAGATAGAAACCTTCTGAAATCCGCTGATGAAACACAGAAGATGACAGCACAGCGATAAGCTCATGGGGTGCTCTGTACAATCTAACAGAACTATTCAGCAAATAAGTCTGTCTATGTGCTCCTAGCAAATGAATCGTTCAGTTTCAATGGCAAGATTCAGAAACTTTAGACTTTAAAGATGAAGTTATTTTATAAATCATGTAGGATATCCTTTTTTATTCTGAGTGTTAGAGAACTTAGACTCACAAAAGTCAAGTAAAATGCTCACGTATGCACAGAAGTGCATCAGAAGTACTTCACAAGGAAAAAATCTGTTCTAAGGAAAAGCATTTAGTGACTCTTAGAAAGAAAAACTGTGATACCAACTAAAATTAGGTAGAAATAAAAAAAAGTCTTAGCATATGCAGTTATGAACGTGTTTATCAAGCACACCATTTTGTAAATATTTGTATATCTGGTGATAGAATCGATTTGCATTTTAATCATCCAGAGAAAAATGATGACACTCTTTCAGAATAATCCTCTACAAAATTTCTTTTATGTTTTTATTCCAAATCTCTCTCCCTCTTTCTGTCTCTCCCTCTTCCTCCCCAGCCTCTCATACACAGTTGCTTGCCATGACATGTTGGAGGAATGCATCCTCACCTAGCTTCTTTATAAGAATGAAAATTCATCTTAAAAGAACGTTTTATTTTCCTTCATATCATAATGTTCACAGACAGTCAGCAAAGGATTAGTGCCAGATTAGATGAAAAATCCACGACTATCAAAATAGCTTAACTATTACCATTCAGTTATCCGGGCAATTGATATGGACTTAATTTCCTAAATTCTGCTTCTTTGCACTCAGTAAATGGATTCCATTGAAGAAACAGGACTCCATCAAACACATGTTTCTACTTGTACCCTCCCCTCAACACATAACACTCAGGAAATATTGCAACCTGCTTTGGGAAAAATCAAAAGATAATGTATCTCTCTTTTGGTCTCAGTACCCTAGGAAACCTAGCCTCAAATTGGAAGCTGCAATCTGAGACTCATTTGCTTATAGCTGGTAGGTTTTGCAGCATAAAAGACATTTCATTTGAACAGACCTGAAGCACTTACTAGTAAAGATATAATAACTACAGAATTCTGCACAGTGAGCACACACTAAAGATTCCGCCTCACTAGCTCACGTAGTTCTAATTATCGACGAGTTTTTCATAATTTAGGGAGAAAATGAACTCTAAGGTAAGAACGATAAACAAGAACCATTAAAGGTGGGGATTTTCATTAAATACTGGCTGTTAACAGTGTTTGTCGGTTCCCTTACGCTTTTATTAAGAGATTGTTCAATATGATCGTTTATTTGGAGGAAACTGAATTATTTCTCCATCCCATCTGCATCACCATATGCACAACACACAAGTAAACAGCTCTTGTTAACTAACGCGAGGGTCCTGTCAGAAGGGTGGATTCTGTTTTTGTTACAGTGAAGGAGACATTTTCACTTGGTCTCCGCAAGTCTAACCTTGAAAGAAACCCCTTCTTGACCAGGTGACAACTTTATAGGCTTTGCTCACAGTTTCCCTCCGGTGCAAAAAAACTTTCATTTATATTTACCGTTTTATTGCTTCCTCTTGTCTTCGGCGTTTTTCATTCTTCTCCTTCAAGTAGGCCAGGTTTGTTTCATTTCTCAAGCGATCATTCTCTCGCGCGATGTCTGATGCGTTCTGAATCACCAAGCCATCATATGCTTTCATCCCCATATCCTCGATATACTGGAGGAATGTGTCCAAAGGGTCTTCCTCGGGATTAGAACTCATCATCTTGGAGGATTTCATGTAACAAGGAACACTTCCTGTGGGAGAAGAACACATTTATCAAAGATGGGGATAAAAGCAAGGGAATGTTTACTCTCCCTAACATCTCATCAGCTCCAAATTCCAGTGACTATAGTGGAATCTACATGGAGAAAATGTCTTGTTAGAAATTACAAATAGAGTATTTGAAGTAAATGTTAAATGAATATTTGAGTAGCAAACGCTTCCTCAAAGCAGCAAAATTAGCAAATCAAAGGCCAAAGCCCTTACACTGAAAGGCGATGTAACAGTGCAAATATTTTGTGGGAGGATAAACATAGGTTTATGGAGGCAGAATCATGATTCTGTTTCTCAAAAATGTGTTACTGTACTAATAAGATATACCAAGCTTCATTTGTTTCTGATCACTATAAACACTATCCTGTTTAATTTCAAATAAAACGATGTAATTACTGGGAATGAAATTTCTTATTGTGTGTTTTCCTTGCAATTTTAAATTAAGATTTATGAATCTGAACAATTCATGCAAAATATAGCAGTAATCAAGGAAATTCACATTTCTAATATAATTTGTCATAGAAATAACCCCTTTCTGACCCTCCATTATTTTCCAAAATTGTGCTCCACAATGGCTTCATGTTGTAACTCAAATATCATACATCACCAGGACCACGTTAATCCTTCCAGCTGGTCATTCAAGCAGTGACAATTGTGATTATCATCACTACATGAAGGTTTAAAGACCTGAGCCACAGAAAAGAATACTGAAAATCAAAATCAAATCAAAACAACAACACGAATATAGGACTTAAAAAGCTCATCTATAAAATGATGGAAATAATAGTGCCTACCTCCTGCTGATGTAAAAATTAGGAGAGTTGATGACTGTGGAGAATTTAGCACAGAGGTCAATGGTAGTAAGCATATGCATAATAAATGTGGCTAATATTATTAGCAGTGATAATAATGTGTAATGTGTATATGTGTATGGATGGCTGGGTGGATAAATCAGCACACCTTGAAATAGGGCTATCCCAAGAATTATAGAAATAAATAAAACCAGGGGACAGAGAAATTGTGTTTTAATCAATCAAAAAAAGAACTAAAATTTAATTAATTACATGCAAGGTAAATCTCTTACCCTTCTAGCTTAATAAGACTCACTGTCCTCAATTGCATATTCGTTGTGGTGAAACAAAATCAATTAACAAGGGGAAAATGTTGGCAATTTAAAAATTGTGAATTATCTTTACATTTTTTACTTTCTTCAAAATGTTCAGAAAGATATCTCCTAAAATACCAGTCGAACTTTTTAGTGTAGACGTCCTAGACCTGCATGTTTAGCATGACGAGTCATTTTCATTTTTTTTTTAACAAGAATAATCATGTTCCATAATCTAGATGGTAGCTATGGAAACTTCACTTCTGATCAGAGTTTATTAGCATTTCAGCTGCCAGTCAATCCATACATTACTTGAAGCTCCTGCTGAATTTAAGGATTTATTCCACAATATGTAAGAAAACGTTGAAACTAGAGGAGAGGTGAATTGTTTGTTGACCCATGATTTTCTGTTATGAGAAGCTTTCTTATGTTTGTTTGGTTTTAAGCCATGATAGGCTGGCACATCAAATGGGCTTTTAATTTTAACTAACAACTGTAATTGTTTTTTGATATCAGCCCATCAGATTAGAGGCTGAAGTGGTGAACATACACAGGAATAAAAAAATTGCAGCTCCAAATGATTGTAATTGGAGGGGGAAGGGAAAATGCAACCTGATTCTCAGAGAACTAAAGCATTAATATGACTGAGAATTCACTTCTACCAAGGACTTCCGTATTAGGTGTGCTCAGATAAAAAAAGATCTGCATAACTTTATAGCAATTAATTCTACCATAGTTAAGCAAGCCAAGTCAGTATTACAAGGATTCTAGAAAGAATGCCTCAGGGTGGAAGATGATCGCTCCTACTCTGCCTGGAGCAAACCTGTCTATTTCCCATTGTGTAAGGCATTACCCAAAAATTTTTACTTCTTCCCTTAAGCTTTCCTCCCATCCGGATGACATCAGTGATTCTTTACAGTTTATATATTCCAAATGTTAACAAGGTTAATTGTGTACCTCTGAAAGTTAATTGTCTTGCTAAGTGGTGTTTCAATTGGCTGGAGTTTAAATTATGTTTATTCTGAGAAAATATTAAATAACAACATCATAAAATATTGATACCACGAAGAGTCATAAGATTTTTTTTTAAGTTGAGACGAAAATTTGGGGGGTGGAAATCAGCCATAAACAACATTGTAAATCAAATCTAGCTCAATTTTTTAGAAACACATGCCTTAATCTGTATCTCAAATTCTCAAATGTAGTGGGGATAGCAAAGTGCTTTACAATGAGGTACAGCATGAAGAAAGAAAGAAAGAAAGAGAGAAAGAGAGATAGAAACATAAAATCTATTAAAACCTTAAAGCAATGAAAATTGGCTGTCGGTGAACATGCTTATGCCGTCCAGTACTAGAGGATATTTGTTTCTACAATCATTCGTTAATTCAAGTGTTTCTTAAGCACCTATTATGAACTAGCCACTGACACAGGCAGAATTGTGTCCTTCTAGACAGGCACACTGCAGGGATAGGACACAATACACAGACCCCTGCACTGCAACGTGACAAGGGCACTGATTCAGTTGGCAATGATGGCAGTCACCAGTCTGTCATGGTTTATGGTCACCGTTTTTGAGAATGAACAAGAAACACTTTTCAACAATCAGATCTTGTCTTCAAACATAAAAATAAAAAATGGACTTGGGCTTGACCCATGTTTAAGGATCATATGTTTTTGTTTCCTTGTCCACATTAAAAAAAAAAAAGATAGCTGGTAAGATAGAGGGAAAGTGAAGCAGTCTTGAAGAGCACATAGCTGAGCAGGTGACCAATATGGCCTAAAAGTCCTAAACTGAAGCGCCCCCTGGATCTATGACTTTGCACAGGCCAATTCACCTCTTGAAGCTTCAGTTTCCATGTTTTTAAAATCATACTTACCTCCTCACATCATTGTGAGGATTTAATTAGAAAATACTTGAAGGTGTTCAAATAAATGGGACCGTAAGTATTAGTCACTAACATTACTATTCGATGATTTGTGGCAGGTCTTAACTGTGGCAGAGATTGCGTTTAATCACAATTCCTCCAAAAGTATAGCTTTACATAAGTGAATAGAACGTTTAGCGTTCAACTTCCTTAATGACAGGTGAGCAAATGGAGTCCATGAAGGGACTTAATGGATTTGCTCACTAACTGAATACGCATAGACAGACCACTTATCCATTCGGCCCCATTTTTCACATCTAGAAAATAAGGGCTTTGGGGCAAATGAAACACGAAGCTTATTCTGTCTCTCAGTCACTCGGGCTCCACCCTTCCAAGCCCAAGGGTGTTTCTCAGGAGACTAAACTAGGAATGAACAGATTCACGGCCTCATCAAAGAAAAGCAGATCTTATGTTAAGTGCTTACTTCGTTACAATTGCTACTATTCCCATGCAGTGAGAACCCACAGGCAAGTATGAGCTTAAATCTGCCTTTCAGAAATTTATATTTATAGCTTAAGATACATGTTGAATCAGATGTGTTTGTTATCACTAAAAAAATTGGCTGCATTTTGATTGCTGGATATTAAATCAAGTTCATTTCTGGACCTTGAATGACAAGCCAGTATGCAAACATTTTATAAAAGCTTGCTCTGTGCACCTAAGTCCTAAAGTCAGCATCATAGAAGAGCATAGTTAAGAAGAAAGTGAGCCCCTTTCTTCAGGTAGCATCTTTAGATACATGGCAATTAATTAATTAATTGATCTACCTTACTAGATCACAAATTATTACATAGGGTATTTATAACAGAGTGTGTGAGATTGAAGGGAACTTTTGCATTTCTCCAGGCCTCCCCTTTATTTGAACCATATGTCTACAGTCATTTTTGCTCAAGACAAATTAGATATTTTAGCCCTCACCCTAGAGCTTTGGTTGAAGGGTGGCATCCATGGTCTTCATCCACAAAGCAGGGTGTTGATTCAAACAGCCACGATTTGTGTGTGTGTGTGCTCTTTTTCTTTGAAGTTGTGGTCAATACTTAAAATTTGTGTCAGGGATTCTCCCGGGAAAGCACCTAAAATAATTGCAATCAGAATTCCCATACAAATCACTGATAACTTCAAGTATTCACTTTCCACCTTTCTTGTATTGCTATATTCTGCATTTATGAGAGACTCCTTTTGTTTAACTTTTGGATTACTCTATTTAGAATCATTGCACCCTAATAAAACCTACAGATGTTGCTCTAAATATAACTGGATGTTTAATGGCTCAGCTTTATTTTTTTATTTCACTTTTGTTATTTATTTCCTTTCGACCACACCCTTTACAGAGCTGACTTTGTATAATGTGATACTCCCCAAAATTTGAAATTTCACTCTACTCAGCTAAGCTGCGTCAATTTAAGCTGGTGGGATTCAGGTCACGTTTAAGACAGTAAGCGTTTTATATTTTAATTGAATTAATCGTTTCCTCATTTTCCTTTGTGTGAAGTCATCACGATACCTTACCAATGCTGAGCCTAGAACTGAAAGTATCATTACATTTCTTCACAATTGTTTCCACTGAAATAAAACTATCCAGTAAGTATATATGCAGAGTAGAAAATATACATAAAGTTATCCAAATGGAATCCATAGAAAAATTAAAAATGCCCTTTTCAAAAAAATCTTCTTGTAACTACTGCTTACACCCAAGGAACTCAAGAAGCTGAGACTTTGTCAAAGTCAAAAAAATATTTGAGGCACAATTTGGAGAAGTAAGTGTATGCAAAAACTTTAACTAAGATCATACATTTGCATGGGTTATAGCCTTTGTAAATTAAGGAATAAATTTTGTATGGCTTCAATTTACCAGAGGATATTTAATGTCTCTCTGTCAAGATTGGGTTACCCCATAGTCTAGAGGGCTTTGGTTAATTATGGGCTGTTTCTGAAAAAAAGATGTACAAAAGGAGTCAGATAAATATTAGGCATACCATCTTCTCATACAGGTTAAAGTATTTTTCTTTTCTTAAAAGTGAAAATAGATTCCTTCTTTAGTGTAATTTCATGCATTGTGACATCGACCACTCTGGCTCCGTAAGGAACGACTCGGTGGATGCACACACTGACTTCTCGGGCAGAACTTTCCTTATGGGTCATTTATCACCATTTACCAAAGCAGGGTTCTAGTATACCACCATCATCTGAGTGAATTTGTCCATCAGCCTGCATGGGTGCTGGTTCTTTTTTCTCTCCTTAAGTGTTTACTCAGAATTCCTGAAATGAAGTTGTTCTCCAACTAAAACTTTGGTTTTCCAAGGTACAAAGTTGTGAAAATTCCACTCATCCAGATGCTTTCCAGGAAAACTGAAGAACAGAGGAAGAAAAAGCATAGAATTGGAGAGAACTGCTCCCCAATTCTCAAAGCTCTGTAAGAAGCTTCTTAAATTTTAGGTCACAATTAACCTTACACAATACTGTTACAGCTCGAATAAAGTAAAGTTTATTTTGTGCTATTATTATAATGCCATTTGCTTTAACCCAGAAAAACAAAACATGTACAAGGGAATACATTTCCTAGTGGAAATCCTAGGCATTTTGCTTTCATTTCGCATTTATATTTTTTATTTCATTTATATATAGGAAAATTTCCTAGTCCTCACTCCCTATTCACCTCTTAGTTCTTCAAAGTACACCTGTCTCAATGCTGTGAGGAAGTTATCAGAATCTGAGTTATTAAAATTCAATTTTCCCTCCCATTCCAGTCATTGCATCTTCTCCGAGACAGAGAATTCTGTTTTGCCCAGTACTATCTATTCATCCAAACTAAAGTTTCCCAAGGCAATTTTGACTGTATATTTTGTTCAGCAGGAGAAAAATATCTTTTACATTTTTTGCATGTACTCAAATCAATTTGAAAACACATTGTGAAAATATAAGTATTTAAATAATCAAGCTTCATATACATATGTAAAATATGTATGCAAATTAATATCTGGAATTTGCTGACTTCACGTAGGACCAAATCAACAGACTAGATTGCCTGGTTACAGTCTATAACCCATGCAAACCATGTCAGAATTGTTTTTCTGACAAAATCTTATAATGTGTCAAAAATGAATCCTTTAATTTTACTTTGATTATGCTTGAAATCCTACCCACAACCCCACAAATGGTCATGCTTATTTTTTCATTCCACTGTCATCAAAATGCAGCTGTTCTGCCCAAAATGGGAAGTGTTAGAGTTAAAACCAAGATAGCTTGTTGAAGTGACTACAAAGACACTGATTGCTTTTTTTTTTCCTCAAGAAGCAGATTACTTTGTAGTGAGTTTTTCTCCACTCCCTCCCTTCCCAAAATGGTTAAAATGGGCAAAGATCCTGTGAATGTGATAGCATCATAAATTAGATATTTCCTCCTAACTTCCAGGTTATCATGATGCTGTTTGCCCACATTCTAAAGATGCTGCACATTTCACAAGAGTCAGGGACTCACACAAAATGTCAGTGGCTGAGGTACTTTTTGAGCCTTTGCCCAAGTGTCTCCAGATGATTACAAGGCAGTATTTGCAAAGCAGATACAGTCAGTATAATAAATTGCTCACTGGAGCTACAATAGAAACCATCTAATTGAATTGGGAGTCTGTGACTTACTCATTTTTTTAAACAATGGCCAACCCTCCTATCTCTAGGATTTTTATACTTCCCTCTCTAAACTTTGCCGATGCGCCGAGTCCTTAGGCTTCTTTATAAGCTCCTTATGAAGTTGTAGTATTTTTTCTTCAGGTTTGTTTTTACTGATTTTCCTAATCTGTCAATGTCCTTCACAGAGTCCCCTCATTTGCTGAGTTGGCAAACATGTTGCACTTCCCACAGAAAAATAAACTAATTTTGGCATTTGTGGCTCAAAGTTTTTCATATTAATTTGCTTACCACTTGATTATACAGAAAATAAATTAGAGCATTGTCTAAAATGTGTACTAGGAGAGAAGTTAATTGCCACCTGTGTTCTACAGTCATTGCTCCACACTAGTTGGTTATAAATTCTTGCATGTTAAAACGACCAAAACTATATCGTGTAAGCTCTTCAACTGGACTTCCCTTATTTTTGGACTATATTTAGAAAAACATTCCAGTTTTACAGTACTAAAATAATTTTAAGATTTCTGAGTGATGATGAACAATATTATTTCATGTAATGGTTCTTCCAGATAGGGAATACCTACATTTCTTGCACATGAAAAATGCTGATAGTTGGACAAATTTGAGTGGAGACAACCCAACAAAATAAGTGTGTCTCAAGTAAAACAAGTCCATCTAAAGTTCTACAGAAAACATTTATTGTAATGAGAATAATGAAATCTTTCTGATATTGAGTGGTATTAAAAATATATATTTCTCAAAGAGGTTTGTGGCTAATCAGGAAGAAGCAGTTTCAGATTTGGTGTATGTCTGATAGTTTGGATTTTTTTCTTTTTTTTTTTGGTACTGTGCCTTTTCTTTTTCTTTTTTTTTTTTTTAAGAACACAAAACTGGGCTGGCACAAATGAGCTAAGAGACTGTTGTAAAATATTTATGATATGGAATAGCAGATAAATAGCTAGCATGCACCACGTGAATGCCAATTAATACCCTGGAAAATATTTTCAATGCTTTTAATAATTCAACATGGCTTATTTTACCAATGAAAATCTAGTTTAACCATTTCATTGGTAATGTAACTAAGTGGGTAAGAGGTATAAAACAGCCTGAGGCTCATTAAAGCCCGGGATGCCTTCACTGTGGCTTTATTTCTGTTCCACCTAATAAGACATGCAAACTTCAGCATTGAGTATCCCCAGCTAAAATCCATTCCATTTCACAATCAGATTGCTTGATCTGTTTAGTGCTGGATTCAATTAGCATGCTTAGAGAATCTGAAAAATGAGATACATACCAAAATTTAAGTCCCCAGGGACAGCTAAGTGCAATATTCAGAAGGTGACTTGTGTCTGCCAGAGCCCTCTCCCGCGGCTGATCTCAGGGCAGCTCTGTAGGAGTAATCCAGCACCATAAGAAATAGACTTGTAGTTCAGCTCAGTTTTTCTTCAATTAAAGTGCATTGTAGCTGGATGGGGAAAGTGTCCACTCCCAGATTCTTCATCACTAGCGATCAAAGCATTCTTGATGTTCTTCCTATCAGATAAAATGGCCTTTAAAGTTTGCTAGGAAGATGCGGTGGCAGAAGACAGGTGCTTGCTTCCTTAAATCGACATTCAGAGAAAAGAGGGCATAGCTAATGGGTGGGGATGAACACACAGCCCCTCTCCTTCCAGGTCCAGCAGGGAAGAAATTGAATAATTTTTACCCACTTTGCTACATAGATGATTACAAGACTCGAAGCAATCACCCGGGCTGGCTAAGGTGCCTCATTTGATTATATTCTGTGAAGACAAAAATAAATGAAAACAAAAAATCAGAAGCATCCTTTCTACATGTCTCCTTTCAGCCAAAAAGATGCTCTTTCTCATTGCCACTTACATGCAGAGGGTTTGGAGCAGCCTAGCTTGTGGCATCGTCCCTCCCCCGTGACAACCAGCCTTCTCTCTCATCCTCTCTCACCCCTCCCGCCCTGCCCCGACTCCCTCCCTTCCTGCTCCTCTCTCTCCTCTCCAGCTGCCTTAGTCTGTTGATGCTGCTGCTGATTAATCAGGGATTCTGAAACAAAGAACCTACCTTCTGAAATAAGCAGCAATCTTTCTTCTCTGTTTCTGCAATCCGTCTGCACTGAACGGCAAAGCCGCCAGCATTCTAGCACCTTGGATAGTTCCTGCTCACTAGGCCCACTGGAAAAGGGAGGAGAAGCAACTGAAGAAATGGCAAGAAACCCGAAAGCAGCATCGTTCTACTTCGGATTTCGGCTCCCTGGGGCCTCCCATCCTCATTAAAGGCCTCACATCTAGGCAACAGAGCCTCTCTCTTTTATCTATCTGAGCTGAGGTCTGATGAGTAAATAATAAAGTGAAAAGGGGGTAAAGAAACCCCTTCATTTATAGCCAGTACAATGCTAATTCAGTCTTTATGGTAACAAAATATATATATAAATCCATTAAAAATAAATGTTCTTGCTACCAAGGATGTTTAAGTTATAAGCTTTTCTCACCCCTGGCACAGCTAATGAAAATGAGCAACAGCTTAAACGGAACAGTCCGATCTCAGTTTGATACCCTTATTTGATATCAGTTTTGCCTCCACCCTCCCTGCGCAGCCGAGCCAGGCACACAATTACTGCTGACGTTCTTCAGGCGGCTGCTTGGGGAAAGAGGGGAGGAGCCTTTTAACCTCATCAAAACAGCTTCATGCCACCTGCTTCCATGGCATGAAGGGAAAAAAAAAAAGCAACTAGCCCACTTAGAACACACACGGCACCTGCCAATGTGGAATAAAGGTCTCACTTGGGATACATTTTTTTTTAACAAAAATAAGATGTGAATTAACTCTGACACGTGTGTCACTTACTCCTATAGAATCACTGTTGAAATTGTTTAAAGTCATTCTATTCCCTACATTTACTGGGAACTCTCCTCACACAGGTCTTAATATCCTACTGACTATGTACACGTATAACATGTTACATAATTCAACCTATGTTCATACGTGTGTGTATATACAGAAATATATGTGTGTGTATACACAGACGCACACACACACATCAAGTCTGCAGTTTTTATCCAACCTGCTTTTCCTCAGAGGAAAACCTCCAACAAAGTATAATGTAGCTGTTTTTATGTGTAAGCTGGTACTATGGTAAAAGTGACAATAGGCAAAAATTTATTTCATTGGGGCTAAAATATCAATTTTGAGAGGGGAAAAATTAGCTTATTAAACAGTGACCTATAGATCTTTGTCCCATCACATTCTTTTCCAATAACTCTTAGTATAAATTACCTTCACTCAAAAGCTAATTTTCCCAAGGGTTAACCTAAACATCGAAATTCATAACTAGATTCTTAGAAAAAATGTGTTCTGAATGCAATTTTTCATGTATCAAGAGATGACAAGAAAATAATAAACTTAAGTTCACTTTCCTGATTTTTAAATGCCATCTGGGACTCTAGTACAATTTTAGTACAATTTTATAATTTTTTTAACTTGTAAGTATCTGTAGGAAGATAAAATCAACATATTACATTATCATAAGACTTTCAGCTTTCACATGTCCTGAAGTATATTCCTAAATTGGATCACATAAGTCATTTATTTCCTGTTCTTGATCACCTACTTTTTGTTTGGAACAGTGTATCTGTTTAATGCCCTCTGGAAGATTAGACAGATGAAAAGAAGGAAGGGAAATGTAATTGGAAAAGAGAAGAAGCCATCTCTTTCTCTTTATGTCTCTCTCTCTCTTTCTCAATACCCCTCACTCTTACTCCTCCCACCTCCAGCTTCTAAAGATCCCAAAACGTGGCACATTATAGAAAAGTGCCACAAGTACCACTTACAAACTAGTAACAGCCACCATACTGTGATCAAAGGTTTTAGCAATGTGTTATTAATAACAGTCAAATGTCCCCCTAGAAATTGTCTTTCAGCACATGACCAAAAGCAGAAAAGATTCTTTATAAAGAAATTATATGACAGACATTTTAGGAATTGGAAATGCTTTACCATGCCTGATAATTCTAGCAGGTTTGGGAAGGCTATATTTTTTAACCACAGAGCTTGAGTAGACCCTGGTGTAGACCCTGTTTCTACATATGAGAAAATTACCATCCAGATAAGTACACTGACCTCAGACCTCACATTCATCAGCTCACTAGGACCAGGACCTAGGGTCACTGGAATGACTATGTATCTCTTCATCTTTGGCCAACACAGTGGTTCTCAGGCACCTTGATTTCATGCACCAGGATAATTTCAAATAAAGCAAGAAAACACTGGCATATGGTTACTAACTATAAAAAGAACTGACATTTTTACCACAAAAATTTCAAAAGTTAAAGGGATTTTTATCCCCCCAGAATAAGAACGTATTTATAATAATGTGTGGTCCTTTAAACTTATTATTTTCAACTTTATGAAAATGTATAATTATTGTGGTTTCCCTTCCTTTCTTCTTCCCTTCCTTCCTTCTGTCTTTCCCCTTCTTTTCACAGCACAGGACTTGGGAACCAACATGCTATGTCAGCCCCATCTCACCAGTCCCTCTCCCTCCTCACCCCGGGCCACAGGGTCTATTGGTTGGGCAATGTCTTCTCTGGGGATACATTAGTGAACAAGAATCTATAGCATATTTGAGGGTTGGTGCCTAGACGTTCCCCAGAACTACTTCTTTCATCTCACTGAATGAAACCATAAAGGGCCTATACTTTCACATGATCAGAGAACCAAATGTAAAATTCATTTCTACTCGTTTCAAGAATATGTAGAGAAAAATGCACTGGACAGAATTAAAGTTGAAAATCCCTCTATTAAGAACAAAAGTATAGAAGCGACAAAGCTCAAATTATAGTTATGTGTTGGCCTATTTCTTAAGCATTTCATAAACTACACATATGGTTCTGCTGCCAAAAGGAAACCAGTCATCGATATGCCTCATGACTCACTTCTTTTTTAAAGTTCTTAAGCCAGGGTAGTTTGGCTTAAGACTCTGCTGACTGACAGAGTTGATGTTGCTGGGTTAAATAGGTCCCTTCTGTGAACTGAGAGAGACAGGAGAGTCAGAGCCCTGAAAGTGTTTCTTAGCCTATAAACCTGCCAGATGGTGGGGAGTACTTTTTGGATAAAAGTGATGCAAATGAGAGAAGTGAGAATTGAGACTGAGCAATCTAGCTACCTAAATTTTGAGGGGCTTATTTAAATATATCAAGAGGTACTCTCTAAAGTCATGTCATAATTTATAATAAAGCCTTTCTAGTTTTTTCCATGATCTGTAATTTTTCTATTATTCTTTCCACATTTAGCTTAGGGAGATGACACCTCTGTTGCAATGAAATTACCCCACTAGGGAAAAAGCTAATCACCTTCCCATCCAATCAGGATTTCTAAGCATTCTGGTAACAGCATGAAATGAAAGTCTTGGTAGAATGAGAACCGTATGTTCCTCATGATTTTTGCCCATACAACAATATAGGTGTCAACAGAAGTTGCACATATGATTTAGGAAACACGGGGCAGCGGATGACAATATGGCGCTCCAGGATCCAGAGTACTGAGTAACTCAAGGAAAAAAAGATTTTTTTGTCTAATAATACACACAAAAGCTATCCTTATACTGTTAGGGGAGCAAATTGTCCGTAAATGGAAATTCCCATGGCAGGAAATATATGAATTGATCCAGACATCCCTCCTTGTTTTCTCTTGTAGATATTTTCCAGCAATGGTTTCACACTTATAATAAATGTATTCATATCTGTACTCAGATATCATTTTTAATTGCTAAAAGAAGATCGACACATTCTAGTGGAATAGACACTCCCAGTCCAACCAACCATCTCCCTTCTTTGTATGGATAATTTTCATTCAAGTTTTAAAAATCAGGTTTATCTTACCCTGGTAGTCTGTACTGACGTACCACAGTCAAAATCATGATGCTTGTTCTCTGTGTTATGAAATATTCCGCCAAAAAATACTCCTCCAATAAAAAATAGAGCCCTATGTGTCTTTCATTCTGACAAATATACTTACTTTATTCTCCAAGTGTGCTAGTCTGAGATTCCTGCAAGAAAGGGACCCTTCCATCCTATCCCCAGGGCCCCAGCTCACTAATGGCGTCTGGACAGTGGTAGGAATGTGCTGAATGCATGCCCAACTCCAGATCTTAGCTGCTGGCATGGCCTGTACAAGTAGAAAATTCAAAACTACCCCTGTACTGAACATGACATTCTCTTTTTAAAAAATTCTAAATCAAAATTATGAAATCAAGTTAGCGACCCTAAAACTCAAATACTGGGGGAGGTAAACATCTTTTTGAAGGGACTCCATGTTCTTCTAACTGGAAAATAAAAAATAACCAATTTGAAACTGGCTAGAAATAAAGAGATAGTATCATTGAAAGACCAACTGAATACATAAGTATAAGAACTATTTTTTGGGAAAATAAAATTTTTCTGAGAGTCTTGGTCAACTCGGGCTGCAATAACTAAACACCAGAGACTGGCTGGTTTAAACAGCAGACACTTATTTCCCACTGTTTCAGAGGCTGAGAAGTCCAAGATCAAGGTGCTAGTAGATTCAGTTTATAGAGAGGGCTCTTTCTCTGGCTTAAAGACAGCCACCTTCTTGCTGTGTCCTCACAGGGCAGAGAGAGTGAGAGCTCTGGTCTGCCTTCCTTTTCCTAGAAGGACACTAATGTCATCATGGGGCCCCACCCTCGTGACCTCATCTAAATCTAATGATCTCCCAAATGCCCAACTACCAAATCCCAACACTCTGGGGGTTAGAGTTTCTACAAATGACTTTTGGGGTGACACAAACATTCAGTCCATAACAGAAACATAGGAGATATGGGAAAATAGAAATATGCCTTCTGGAAAAGGATCAATTATGTAAATAATTACTTTTTACTAAAATGGCTTCAAAGCACATGTGATTTCAATTTAAAAGAAAAATGTTTGGTGGAGT